AAATAATTTTTTCTGTCTATGTTTCCATTAAATATATTACTTACTTTATTGTTATCTATTGATTTCATAGTTTTACTTTTTGTTCTTTCATTCTACCTTCATTTCAGCTCATGTTTTCTTCCTTATTTCTAGATCTTTATTGAATTGTCTCTTCTAATCATTAATTTTGTGGCAGTTCATTTGACTCTTCTCCTAATTATTGTCATTAGATCATTGCAATTCACTTTCCTAGCCATATTTATAGCTCTTCTTGGGTAGGAAAACATTTGAGTAGTATACATTTGTTTTCTATTTTAAGTATAAATTTGTGCAGGAATATGATGCTGTTTTGTTCTATGTAAGTCACCTTAATTATAGATATAACATTGTTTAACCTCATACAGTCCACATGAGATCAAAGAACTTTATGAACACATCCCATCACAGCATTGGAAATTTGCTTAAAATATAATTAGAAAACTTGTGATATTTCTTTTGGCATGGATTAATATCCATGGGACTAACAAGAACTATATGATTAGATTTAAGACCCAATATATAAGATAAAACACATACCTGAGACCATTGTATGACCTAAGAACAGTAGAAGGAGGGTCATGGGCCCTAAGGAAGAACAAAATACTTTTATTTTCATTATTGAATATAGAATTAAAATTATTCCAATGACTAATTGTTATAATCATAGTTTTGGGACTCTCTCAACCATCATCGAAGAAACTTCTTCCTTTCGTAGAAGAAAATCAACACAAAGATCTGGAATGGACCAAGGTTCAATGAACAATACTCTGTGGAATAGGCATCAGTAAATTGAATATCTATAACACACACACACACACACACACACACACACACACACACACACACACACACACACACACACACCCAAACAACACAAAAAAACATACAAAAAGAGGGGCAGATCTATTGTAGAAGCCAGGTTGTTGATGACGAAAAGGGAAATGCAGTTATCCAGATACAATAGGATAGTTGTACAGATAAATCACTTTGTCTATGAGAGAATGCACAGGACTTGTAAAAGCTCAAGTCATGTAAAATTCAAGCATTAATGTGGTAGACATGAAACACCTAATGTACTTGATATTAATAGAAGCTGAGAGACAGAAAATTAATTCTTGGTATGCGTGTGACCATGATGGTTCTAAAGGGCTCTGGTAGATTGCTACCCTGAAAAGTATAATGATACCCACAATGTTTTTAAAGAGAACAGAAATTTTTTTATGTCTGGAACAAGGAGATTGATTTAGTAAAAGTCATAGGACAGGGAGAACTTACAGAAAATAGAACATATATACTCCTTTGAAGTGTTAATAAGAAGAGCTTTAAAAAGCTGACGATAAATTAATGAAGCTTTTATTGAAATTCCATTATTTTTGGGCCTCAGGTGATGCCTTTATGAATAATGCTCTCTTTTATCAGAGTATTTAAGACCTAAGAGGTAGGATATTACAAATAGATGTTTATTAAAAGTTTAAGCACTCATTTCAATTATAATAACCTTTAATTGGATATAATTAACAATTATAATTATATATTATTATATATATTATAAAATAATTAACTGGTTTTATATATATATATATATTAGACATTTTATAAGTAGCTGACATTTATAATATGGTCCCACAAAACAAAAATAAATTATAAGACATAACAAAATGTACACAATAATAATTATGTGGATATATAAATTAAATTGCATTTGAACAGAATGGCAGCTAAAGCAACATGATCACATGTAGCATTTCCTAGGGGATTACCAGAAATATATTCTCAACGTCATTCTCTTTCATAATTGAGTTTAACAAAGAAAATAAAATATGGTTCAGATATTGTCCATACATTAGACAAAACAAGGCCAATCATTACTGCATTCAAAAAGGTTAAATTCTAGATGTTGTGAAAAAATTAGTAGCTGTAAACATGGGAACAAAAAGTATGATCTTCTTATTTATTCCACCATTAGTAATGAATTTCTTAACACATATTTCTCCAAGCCTACACTATCGATTGCATTCTTCCTCCAACAAGGCTATACTTGCTAGAATAAAGACCTATCTCCTAATAGTGCCTGTCTCTATGAGATCATGGGGGCCAATTGCATTCTAACTACACAGAAATAGTAGCTTATAAATGAAGGTTTGTCTCCTGACCACCAGTTCCCAAAATAAACATTCAGAGGCTTAATATTATTTATAATTGTTTGGCCAATGGCTCAGTCATGTTACTGACTAGGTCTCACAATTAACACATTTTGTATCACAAAATATTAAATGACACAGAAACTGATATTGGGGTTTAAACTTTGAGCTGAATATCAGAAAACCAACGCAGCTGGCCACTAGCTCTCACCTCTAGCTCAGCTGGAAAGGGCTGATCCACTCATGAGCTCTTCACCAAGGCTCAAACTGCTACCTCTTCTTTTTGGCTGGAGAATGAAAGTCTTATACTGACTCCTAATACTGATTTACATACCTTTCCTGAGTCCTGACATTAAAAGTGTGAACTATAATTCTCTTTTAGACTGATTCAGTCTTGTCTAGATCTGGTACCCTTGGAGACACCTAGATCTGTCTACTTCTGAATCCTGAGTCCTAGAATTAAAGTACCACCACCTCCTAGTTTCTGCATGCTAGGATTAAAGGTATGTATCACCACTGCCTGATCTCTATAACTTGAGATTGATTTTGCATCTGAATCCTCAGTCAAGCTTTAATAAATCATAAATAATATGTCACTACACCATTTTGTTTATATTTTACCATGATGCTTGTGACTTTGTTACCTCACATCTTGCTTCTCCACTGGCTAACTGGCCTCTCCCTGACTCTGCCTTGACTTTTTTCCATACTTTTGTTTAGATTTCATGCCTGTCTGTATTCTACCATTATATAAAAATTAGCACAAAATAGTAAGCTAAAAGTGTAAGGAGGAAAAATTGTACTTGTAGATACTTTGAGTAAAAGAAAATGTATAGATGTGGGGTGACAATTAAATTACTGCATAGTTTTAAACCTTAGGTGAACATCAAAACCAGAATATCCTATAACAGGCACCAAATTCCTACAAAGAGTCTCTATTCACTCAATTTTAAATCCCTGATTATTGAGTAAAAAACCTCTTATTAAAGTCAAAGATAAAAAATGTTTTGTAATGTAAAGTATACACTTTTATCTTAGAAAATGTTCCCTCAGAGTGACATTAGTTCTTAATTAAATGTAAGCGACTTAAGAAATGAGAAGCATCTTCTGATTTATTCCATGTTTATACCTGGAAGTTTGCTACCTCATGAATTAGGATGCTTAAAATGGTATTCTATATTACAAATATAAAATATGGACCCTTCATTTCTTTAAATGATTGCTCATCCCTCCTGTCTAATACTTCTAATTAATTAATTTTCATAAAGTATATATTTTATAAGTATTTTTCATATTTTAACCATTTTTATAAAAACTGTTTCATAAAGTATTAAGGTGATATAGAGAAATACTGAACTTTATAATTTTATAAGAAAGTATTTTATTTAATTTTTTTTATTTTAGAAAATTAACAAGTAACTTATTTTCACAGTCCAGTAATTGTTAAAATAAAGTATCACTTTTTGAGTTTGCAGAGATGGTTCACCTTTTAAAAATTCTTGCAGATTTTCCAAAGAACCTATCTTTTTATGGGAGTCCTTATATACAGTGAATCCCAGCATCTCATAACTTCAGCTTTAAGGGATCTAAAGCCTTTGTCTTGCCTCTCCTGTTATCTTACACATGTGACATCAGCTCACATGGTTATATCAACATGCATGTAAATGAAAAGTAACAAAATAAATATTTGTTCTTAAAATAATGCACCTTTTTTAGAAAAGATGCAGTCCAAATTCAGAGAAAAAATAATTCTATTTTACATCTCACGTTTCTTTTTACATCTCACGTTTACTCTGAACTTTGTGGCTCTACCCAGATAACTGATTTTTTAGAAAGGCCATCATGGTTTATACTCTTGTTGAATTTCATTAGTAAGTATTTTCTTGAAAAAATACCTATGTTCAAGATAGATAATGGCCATAATCTCTGTTTTTTTGTTATTTCTTTGTCTGGTTTAATTATAGGTCTGACAAGATATGACCATTGGTATAATAGTGGCAAAAACGTTTGGCAATATCCACAACCAGATACTGATTGGGTTTAAATCTCATTTCCCAAGATGGAACATATACTGAAACCATTTCAGAGGACAAGAACTGTGGCAAAATATTCAAATTTTCCTAAGGAAGAACATACCCACTACTGCTATTCTAAATAAGCATTGTCAGAAAAGGGTCCAAGCATGGTGTCTGAGTAAATGTAAGAAAACTCAAAAAAAAAAAAAAAAAAACCAATAAGAGTCTTCTGACCTCAGATTTTTAAAAATTACAGAATGTTTTTAGGATATGCCTTCATGTCCCTCCTAGGAGTAGTGGATAGGAGTAGGTTTATTTCAGATAATTCATTACAGCTTGCTATTTTTATCTCCTTATATGCCTGTATGGAAAGACACGTTTCTGCCATGTGTAGCTTGTCCACCATGTGCAACTTACCCTTGTGATTTCACTGATATGGTTAAAATGGATGGTTCCTTAAAACCGAGTTTCTGATGGCAGCGGTGCTGGGAGTCTCCTGTTCTGAATAAGGCACCTGTATTGCCCCTTTAAGGTTCAGAAAACACGGTGGAAGGGGCAGGAAGAATGTAAATGCCCAAGGATGTGGCAGAATGTTGAATAATCTTCAGGAATGACATGGCCTTTACACTCTTTGCACAACTCAAAAGCTGTGATTATCTGTGCGGTCTTTACTGTTACTCTCAGTTGTACTGCAGCTGAGGCTCAGCACAGAGTGCAGGTAGCACGTTAGCCACAGTGGCAGGCACCGAGGCACCTCGGCGGTCAGAAATCCTGCTTTCCTGCAGGCACCCTCTCCTGCTCCTCTCTTTCTTCCTTAGCTCTCACGATGGCTGATCAGCTGACTGAAGCACAGATTGTTGAATTCAAGGAAACTTTCTCCATATTTGATAAAGATGGTGATGGGACTGTTATGCGGTCACTGGGTCAGAACCCAACAGAAGCTGAGTTCCAGGATATGATCAACGGAGTGGATGCTGATGGGAGTGGCACCGCCGACTTCCCAGAGTTCTTGACCCCGATGGCTAGAAAAATGAAAGATACAGATTATGAAGAAGAAATCCGCAAGGCATTCCGAGTTTTTGACAAGGATGGGGATGGTTACATCAGCGCAGCAGAACGGTGCCACATCATGACCAACTTAGAAGAAAAACTAACAGATGAAGAAGGAGATGAAATGATCAGAGAATCAGATATTGATGGAGACGGACAAGGCAAATATGAAGAATTTGTACAGATGAAAACTGCAGAATGAAGACCCACTTTCTACTACCTTTTCCTCTGGAAGAATCAAATTGAAGTCATTTACTTACTTCTTACAAAAAAAGAAAAAAAGTTCATTTATTCATTCTGTTTCTACCTAGCAAAACTGAATGTCAATTGTACCTTCTGTCCACAAACAAAATCTGCATGTATTAGTTGGTGGTCCTGTCCCCTAAAGATCAAACCCCCACATCAGTTTTACAGTATATTACCTTCTAAGGAAGCACTTAGTGAACTCCTTAAAGTTCCATTTGCTAAGGATTAATACACTGTTTGGGCTGGCCAGTTTCTCATGCATGCAGCTTGACGATTGAGCACAGTCAGTCCTTCCAGTGCTCCAACCCCATGGTGACGATGACACCCTGTTGGTATGCCCGAGTATGATGGCTTAGTACTGTGTGCATTGTACTAGAGGGAAATGAACATCAAGGCTGTCACCAAATCACACCAATTTTTTAATAATTAATGTTTACCAAGGGAGCATCTTTGGACTCTGTTTTAAAAACCTTAGAAACCATGACTTGGAGGCCGAAGAGTAGGCTGTGGCTCTGCACTTGAGACAATCATCGAGATTGCTGTTCAGGAAATTATAATTTATATCCATCCCAAGTTGTAAATGATAGTCTTTCATTTTTTCCAATAAAAAGACGATTAACTTAAAAAAATTGAGTTTGTGTTACCTAATGGATTTGACACAAGATTGCATTCTAAGACCTTTTTTCTCTGTCATATACTTTCTCTTCCATTACATAACTTACTATGTAGTCATCAATATGTAGTCATTTCACAACTAGAAAAAAATTGTTAGAAATGAATAGGCAGGGAAGTAACCTGAAACAAAGTATATTACTTCAAGAACTCCTAATTGATATGAAGAGAATATTGATCACTCACTCTTCAGATTTCATTTAATGTTAATTATCATCTTCATGATTACTTACGTTACTTCACAATTTTCCACCTGCTAACTCTATTCATTTTTGGATGTAAAAATACAATGTAAGAGAAAGGCTCCTTATAAACCAAGAGATATTTTGTTTATACAGAGCAGAAACAATGTTCTGTTATTTTTTAAATAAAGGGTTTAACACAAATATCACACTTAATTTTGCCATGTTTTTCAGTAGTTTATTAATGACAACTAGTTTATAGCATAGGAAAAATGATTTTTTTCATGTCAATAGAAAGTATCAGTGAATATTGTTAACTTATTTAAATTAAATGATTATAATTACCACCCCAGAGGAAAAAATCCATTATTGTGTATTTTCAACAAAAGAGCATTCAGCTATTATTTTTAATCAAAATTTATTCTTTTTATTACTACAAGTTATATATTACACTGAAAACATTTATAGATGTATTCTATACATTGTATGTCTCCTAGATTAATATACAAGTAGAAGGGAGAAGGGAACTGGGATTGTCATGTAATTCAATCTTGTTTGTAATTCAAATAAAAAAATAAAATAAAACAAGTAGGAGATCACAAAATATTTTCACAATGTCTTTATCATTTCACTTTACATAACAGAATGTCTCCAATTTTTCCAAAGGAAGTAATTAACATGAAAAGCCAGTACTTACACAGATGTCCTCTAAGAATTTTACCTTTATGTTTGGTGAAGGGACGCTATACAGCCTGACATTTGAAATGTGGTAAAAATCTTAGGTGGCAGAGACTTCAAGGAGCTCATAAAGAGAATTCTGTTTGGAAAAATGTTGGCTCAGAAGCAATGAAACACATTTTGAGTTTTAATTTTGGATTAGGATTTAGACTGAGATCAGAATGCTATTGCAAAAATCACCCACCGAGTGAGCACTGCTCTGTGTGCCCCACAGTCACCAACAGCCTACAGAGTGCGGAAGACACTGCTTTTTTATAGAGTGTTGAACTTTCAGTTTTTCACACCTCCTTCACATGCAGCTGGAGCGCCTTGAAGTCTTCGTAATAGTTTGGTTCATTGCTGTTGCTATAAGACTCAGTTTTCATATTTTTAGACATTCACTAAACGGGACAAAACATACCAGGAATTTATGTGCTTGAAAAAGCATCCCCACTATCATTGAATATTTTCAATATTTATGTTTTTGAAGTTTAAATTCCTTTGGTTGAAATTAATAATAATAATATATACTCACAAAATTAATCTTCTGTTGCACACAGGAAAAATTAATAACATACTAGTGATATTAAAAAACTAATTAATATTCTTCTAAATAACCTAATATTAATATATAGAGCAACATATTTGTAAATATTTGTTTTCACATATGTAGATAAACACACAAACCAGATTCATTTCCATATGATTTATGTAAATAGGCATCTGCTGATACATATATAGTTAGCCCTGTTAAGTTAGTACAGATCTTAATTATTCATAATTAATGTTATACATACGGGTATCTCCAAGCATTATTGACTTTTTGTGGCAATAAAGTGTATTAACAATTTAAATTCCCATTATAAAGAGCTAGGTAATCTTTCTGCATCACAATGATTAAAATTTAGTCTAATATATCAAGTCGCATACCAGGTAGCTACTAGTTTATACATACACACACAGATAAAACTACACATATAACAGTAGAAAATAACATTTTTTTCTATGTATAATGGATTCCTGACAGTACTTCTTAAAAATATAAGTCAACATTAAATTGAATGAGAATGCCAAGCATAAAAATTAGTGATTTTGTTTTAATCTTTTCCCATAACACATTTATATAGTGTGAAGCTTTTCTGTTTTCAGAACCCATTCATAATTTATTTCCCATAAACATTATGACTATATATTTTACTAGCTAACTGTTACATTTGAACTTTCAGTTTTCACTTCTGTTTCAATACATACAAACAAATATTGAAAATAAGAATGTACCGGTAGTGTAATGCATTTACCCATTGTATCCAGGGAGATGATGATTAAATTTTGTTTTAAACTTCAATGAAAGTATTTTATTGCATTATCGGGCATAACATAAACTACATTAGGTTGTTCTCTGCGACCTACAACTTCTGCCATATAGTTTAGAGGACTTATGCTGCATATATATATCCATGTATTCAGATGTATCCTACACATTCTGCAGGTATATGAATCCCAGGCATCCAGAATATACTCACAGCATCTCAAATGATACCACATAGACATCAAGCAGATACGAACACACTTAGTAATCACCTATAGTTCTTTCTGGGGAAGCCTGCTAGTTTGGTTTGAAAGTGACTTTAAAGAGTAGATTGGACATGCAGGTTCCAGGGTTTTTATAGTTACAGAGCAAAGCTGAAATGTAGATTCCCAAGTGGGCAGAGGCTTCCTTGGCTCACCATTCTACTTCTGCCAAGAGAAATAACACATGGACTCAAATCAGTTTGTTGTGTAGAGTGGATGGAGGTGCTTGCCAGCTGTCCACAGTTAAACATCCAAAATGGAGTCAGCATCTATCATAATGTGACAGAATAAACTATGGCCAAGCAAGTTATTATTGGTTAAAATAGAAAGCTGAATTTTATTCAACTACAAAAAAAGAGTATTCTTTGGAACTGTTTTAGATTCAGCATCTGCAGTGGTACTCATTACACTGAGTGATACCAGATAATGTATGCATCCATGCATCACATTGTAGCAAACTGAGCTGAAGAACTCTGTCTATCACTGTAAGACTCTGTTTTTAACATAGACAATATGTCTGTCTTAGTTGCTGCCAGCAAGACATTTCCAATTTTGTTAAACATCTTTGAGTTTTGTCTTTAAGAAATAAAATTTCATTATTCCCGTTTCTTACAAGGCACCACCATCACATGGGTTTTCACTCATATATCTATGACTTCTCTTCAGAGCAGATGCTAACACCATGTACAGAATTTTCTTCAGCCTAAAATTATTTTCCTGTCCTTTCATGTTTTTGATAAACTTCTAAACAGCATGAAAAATTTCATTACCTGATGGATATCCACAGTGTGTTGCCGACTCTTCAACATATTCTCAATGTATCTTCATTGTAATGCCAAAGCAAAAACATAAACCACAAGTGACATACAGGATATCTGAGTTCATTTGTTTCACTTATTGCTCAATTTTCAAAGGAGTGAATGTGTAAGTAGCTGCATAAGATCACTCACATTTCATTTTAACCTGTGGATTTTTAATTATTGACAATTAACTTAAATACTTTAGTACTATATGTATGATTTTAAAAATATTTTTTATTAACTTTGAGAATTACAAACAATAAATATGTTTTAGTCTTATTCTGCCCAGACCCTTAGGTCCCACTGTATCTCCCCAACACCCAGTACCTAACTTCATGTACTATTTAAAGTATTACTACCTCATTGAATCTAAGTAAACTCCTATAATTAAACTGTAGAAGTTTTGAAATAGAAGCGATGGTTTTATTAAATCCATGAAAAGTATATAATATTTCCAAGTTTGCTAAGTCTGACTTAATGCTTTAAAGTAACTATTAAATGATTCAAAAACATACTCAAATATATTATATAATAATCATTTCTACCACATTTGTCTTTTAGGAGGATGAAATATTTAATATCATTGATTTCTGAAGTGATAAAATAAAACAAAGTTTAAAACTATGAGTCACTCAAAAGATAGTAAATTTTACAGGTTCGTCTATATTTTGTACAACACAGTGTTATCATCTACAAATATCCTCCTTGAGAATTGCAATCATTATAAATGTAATTATATCAAGGAAAATATATGGAAATATTATTTTACTTTCATACATTATTGACAGTGAAAATAGAAAGAAGGTAGATATGAATCTTTTAAACTTATAATCAATGCAATATTCCTGTAATGAGAAATTATCATGGGAACTGAAAAGAAAGAAAAATATTGGAAATTTATCATTGGGATGTTTGATGCCTGTTTGTATGTGTGGTAGAAGAGCATAAGACAATGTAGTTAACGTAATATATGAATTTCACAGTAGAATTTTTTAAAGTAGGTAAAACATTTG